ATACTTTGGCTATTGTCAATAGTGCTGCTATAAATATTGGGGTGCAGGTGCCCCTTCAAAACAGCACACCTGCATCCCTTGGATAAATACCTAGTAGTGCAATTGCTGGACCATAGAACAGTTCTATTTTTAGTTTTTTGAGGAACCTCCATACTGTTTTCCAGAGCGGCTGCACCAGCTTGCATTGCCACCAACAATGCAAAAGAGAGCCTCTTTCTCCGCATCCTCGCCAATATCTGTTGTGGCCTGAGTTGTTCATGTTGGCCATTCTGACAGGTGTCAGGTGGTATCTCACCGTGGTTTTGATTTGTATTTCACTGATGACGAGTGATGTTGAGGAAAACTGATTTTTGAATAGTAAACCCGGAATGAACCCAGCTGGACCATAATAATTCTTTCTGCTTTCTGCATCATTTGCTATCATTTTACCAATGATTGTTTTCATTTATGTTCCTAAGAGATTGTCCTGTAATTTTCTTTTCTTCTTACACTATTGTTCAATCTTGGCACCAGGGTCTTAGTACCTTTATAAAATGAGTTGTGAGATGTTCCTGACTCTTTTCTCTGGAATAATTGACATGAGGTTGGAATTACCTGTTTCTTTATTTGTTAGAAGTCACTTGTGGGGCGCCTGGGTGTCTCAGTTGGTTAAGCGTCCGACTTCGGCTCAGGTCATGATCTCACAGTCCATGAGTTCGAGCCCCGCGTCGGGCTCTGTGCTGACCGCTCAGAGCCTGGAGCCTGTTTCGGATTCTGTGTCTCCCTCTCTCTGACCCTCCCCTGTTCATGCTCTGTCTCTCCCTGTCTCAAAAATAAATAAAACGTTAAAAAAAATTTTTTTAAAAAAAAGAAGTCACTTGTAAAACTGAATGTGCCTACTTTCATTGCTATTTTGATTTTGTTATGGATATATTAAGGTTTTCTTAAATCTTCTTGGGTGAGTTTTGACATTATGTTTTTCTACAAAAGTATTCAGAACGGCAAATTTTTAAATTACTGTCTTCTCTTATTATTCTTAAATCTTTATTGTATCTGTAGTTATATATTTTAAAAAACTATAATTTTGTCCACACACTTGTTTTTCCCTAGATGAATCTTGGCAGTTTTATCTATATCGTTAATTTTTTCAGAGACTCAACTTTTAGATTTATTAATCCTCTCCCTCATATCTTCATTTCTAGTACATAAATTTCTTATCTTTATTATTTAATTTTTGTTGCTGTTTTGGGTTCGCTCTGTTTTCCTTTGTCTAATTGCTCGAGTTGGATCTCAGTGTCAGTTAGGATGGCATATCACTCTATTTTTAGAAAATGCAACTATCGTGGCTCCCCTGCTTACACTCTGTCCCTCTGTCTCCCCAAAATAAATAAAACATTAAAAAAAACTTTAAGAGGCACCTGGGTGGCTCAGTCGGTTAGGCATCTGACTTATCTCATGGTCCTTCTGTGGGTTTGAGCCCTACATCAGGCTCTGTGCTCACAGCTCGGAGCCTGGAGCCTGCTTCAGATTCTGTGTCTCCTTCTCTCTCTGCCCCTCCCCTGCTTGCACTCTGTCTCTCTGTCTCCCCAAAATAAGTAAGACATTAAAAAAAATTTTTTTAATAAAAAATTAAAAAAAAGAAAATGCAACTATCGTGCCTTAATCCCATAAGTCAGTTAGAGTTAGATAATCCATAGTTGGGGCAGCAGCTCTCTGCTGTTATCTATATACCAGACTTGTTTTATTTTTTCAAATCTCCATTATTAGTGCATGGTTTTGCTTTCATATTTCTGACCTCATCGTAGCAAGATGGCTGTTTCACTTCCAGTCTCCATTTGCTGTTCATGGAGGAAGGACAAGATGAGAGAAGTAGAGGGGGCGGCAGCCACGTGAGGAAAGCAGAAAACCCCATAGAAAACCCCCGCTTGTTTATCGTTGGCCTTAACTGTATCCCTTGACCCCTTTAACTGGACGGGGTTCTAGAGAAGCGAACATTTTTTTTTTTAATGTTTATTTATTTTTGAGATGCAGGGGAGGGGCAGAGAGAGAGGGAGACAGAATCCGAAGCAGGTTCCAGGTTCTGAGCTGTCAGCACAGAGCCTGACGTGGGGCTCGAACCCACGGACTACGGGATCACGACCTGAGCTGAAGTCGGACGCTTAACCGACTGAGCACCCAAGTGCCCCTAGAGAAGAGAGCATTTTAACTAGACATATTTCTGTTCCAAAAAGTCCTGGTCCTCTCAGTAAGGAAGAACCAGTGTAATGGATATTGGGTTGTCAGCTACCAAAGCCTATAGATCATTGTTTTTGAGGCCCCCTCTTTCCTTTGATAAGCATTTACAGTCTTATATTTCCCATAAAGTACTTTTTTACTTTCATTCCACAAATTTTGAAATATAGTATTTTTATTGGTATTCATAATACTAATTATTTTTATTAGTTATTGCTATTAATATTTATCGGTATTAGATTGAAATATTCTAACATTTTCCAAGTATGCTTTTTAGTTATGTTGTTGATTTTTAACTTCAGTCCTTTGTTGTCAGTAAAAACTCTTTGTGAGACAAATTATTTGGTGTTTGTTTGCAACTTGTGTTCGTGTGAGGTCGGTCTTTGTCATTGTGCCCTGGATATGGGAAATTAAAGATAAGTGCACTTGTTAATAGTTGAGAGCGTATATACATGTATGTGTATATGTGTATGTGTATATATATGTATATGAACATATATGTATGTGAATATATATGTATGTGTATACGTGTATGTATATATGTATATGAATCTATATGTATGTGAATCTATATCTATATCTATATCATCTATATCTATATCTATATTTTTACCATTCTCTTCAATACTAATATATCTATATCAACATTCTTTGATATAGTGTTTGCCTGATAAATCTTTCTCATTCTTACACTGACCTCATTTCTGTGTTGTGTCTTAGTATGTCTTTTACAAATTATATATAGCAGGTTTTAAAAATCCAACCTGAGGGCTCCTGGGTGGCTCAGTCAGTCAGTTAAGCGTCTGACTTTGGCTCAGGTCGTGATCCCACAGCTCGTGAGCTTGAGCCCCGCATCAGGCTCTGTGCTGACAGCTCAGAGCCTGGAGCCCGCTTCAAGTTCTGTGTCTCCCTCTCTCTCTGCCTCTCCCCACTCATACTCTGTCTCTCTCTCAAAAATGAATGGACATTAAAAAAAATCTTTTTAAACATTCCTATATATATTAAACTAATAAGAGGTAAAACTAGTCTTTTATACTTGCTTGGATATTTACTATTTCCAATCCTCTTCACTCATTCCTGAAAATCTAAGTTTCCAGCTTGTAATATTTCTTTTTAGCCTGAAGGAATTTCTTTAGCAATTCTTGACTTGGGCAATGAATTCTCATAGTTCTCTTTATTTAAAATGTTACATTGATTATAGCATTTTTGACTGATATGTACTTTTTTACTTTTCGCTGTAACATTGCGCCTCTGACTTCCATACTTTCTAATGAGAAAACATCAATCATTTCAAAAGTTATTCCCCTGTATGTACTTGTTTTCTTTTCTGACTGCTTTCAAGATTTTCTTTTTGAGGCGCCTGGCTGGCTCTGTTGGTAAAGTATGCCACTCTTGATCTCAAGGTCATGATAGGGCATAGAGTTTACTTAAGAAAAAAAAGTGTTTTTTGTTTTTTTTACTTTTAGAGAGAGAGAGAGAAGGAGAGAGTGTACACATGAGGGGAGGGGAGAGGGGCAGAAGAAGAGAGGGAATGAGAGAGAGAGAGAGAGAGAGAGAGAGAGAGAGTCTTAAGCAGGCTCCATACTGACGTGGGACTCAATCCCATGACCCTGGGATATGACCTGAGCCAAAATCAAGATTTGGGCACTCAACCGATGACTAAGCCACCCAGGTGCCCCTAAAAAAAGATTTTCTTTTTACCTGTGGTTTTCAGCAGTTGAATTGTTATGTACCTAGGTGTGGTTCATATGTATTTATCCTGCATGAAGTTTGTTCAGCATCTCGAGTCTTTATCTTTCACCAAATTCGGGAGGTTTTGGCCATTATATCTTCACCAAAACACATTGTATGTTTTGATGACGATCAGAAATGATTCTTAGTCACCATGCTAGTTATATATTTAAATGTTTGGCTAGTAAATTCACAACAAATATGAATTTTTTCCTATCTTTTCTGATTTAAAATCCACATCTTGGATGATACTTTTTGAGGTGTGTTAAAGGGTTGTTGTTAATAACCCAGGTATTTTATTCCATTTAGGAAGAAACCACCAGGAACCTTCTCTCCCTTACTTCATTAGCATATGTTAATTTATCAAGTTAACTGGAGTTCTCCAATGTGCACCATATTTCAGAGGTATTCTTAAAAGGCAGGACGAGCCCCTGACCACATTCCAGACCATATGCTCATGTTGGGGAGGAGAAATTTTTATTGACCCTTCAATATTCATCTGGCTGGTCTAAGAATCAGATTGATGTTCGACAGATTAACAGGAGAAAATCAAACAATTTTGTGACACGTACACCCCCTGCATATATGGGAGAGACCCAGAAAAACTGAGTAACGCTGAAATGGTGGAAGTCGTCACCTTAAATACCACCTTCAACTAAACACAAAAGAAGATGTTGGGGGAGGTAGGGCACAGTTATGGGAGGTTACCAGGAAAAGCTCAATAAACAAGGGTATGGTAGTTATGCAGAGTTAAGTCAACATAAGACTTTCTAGGGGAGTCTGGGTGGCTCAGTCGGTTAAGCATCCCCCATGATCTTGGCTCAGGTCGTGATATCATGGTTCATGAGATCAAGTCCCACATTTTGGGCTATGTGCTGACAGCACAGAGCCTGCTTGGGATTCTCTCTCTCCCTCTCTCTCTACCCCTCCCCTGCTCACGTGCGCTCTCTCCCTCTCCCTCTCTCTCTCTCTCTCTCAAAAATAAATAAATAAACTTAAAAAAAAAAAAGGGTCTCTAAAGATTTTGCGTCATGCCCCTCTTGCTGGTACAGCTAAAGAGACACCCTTACAAGTGGTGATTTCCCTTATAAATGTAAATGTCTCTTATAAAAGGGAAGCTTATCCTCAGTTTTCAGAGCTTCTCCTGTGTTTGCAGTTTCTTAAAAATAATCAGCCTAAGATAATCAGTTTGCCAAAGAGGCTTACCTTGCGGTGGCAAAATTTGCTTCTCTGTGCCCGGAACCAGGCAATGTGCTAGAACCTTTACACAGAGCGCCCTTACTCTCTACAACAATGTATTTTTTTCCCATTTTTAGGTCATTAGATCTCTTCAGGTGGATTTTGGGTTCCTCAGAGAACTGCTTCAGCTGAAGTTTGAGGACCGTCTTAAAGAGGAGTCTTTCAACCTGTTCACTGCTCTACATGACAGGATCCTAACAATCGAAAAACATTATCAAGAGGTACAAACTCTCTCATTTCCTTTGTTTTATATGGCTTGATCGCCTGCTTAGGTGGATACCTAGTGCAGTTTTGAATTTAGCAACTCATGAGGGCGGTTTTATTTGCCTACGTTGTGTCTCATAGAGTAGATAATACAAATAATAGCTTTACTTTGTGTCAGAAACTTTGTGAGTGCTCTGTACACAAATTAATTTAATTCTCACACTCACCTCATAAAGTAGGTGCAATTATTATTATCCTCCTTTCGCAGATGAGGAAACTGAGGCCCAGAAAGTTTAATTCACTTGCTCAAGGCCACCGGTTAAAACAAAACATCAGAGTTTATGTTCCCAGCCAGCCAGTTTGATGCTTGAGATCTGACTCTTTTTTTTTTTTTTAATTTTTTTTTTTTTCCAATGTTTATTTATTTTTGGGACAGAGAGAGACAGAGCATGAACGGGGGAGGGTCAGAGAGAGAGGGAGACACAGAATCGGAAACAGGCTCCAGGCTCTGAGCCATCAGCCCAGAGCCCGACGCGGGGCTCGAACTCAGGGACCGTGAGATCGTGACCTGGCCGAAGTCGGACGCTCAACCGACTGCGCCACCCAGGCGCCCCGAGATCTGACTCTTAAGCACAATTTTATATCATCTTATTTGTGCTTATTATCTCTGTAGGAGCCAAAGGCTTGAAAATTCTGCTGTTTCAAGGAGTTTCCTAAAATCTTTGGTCAGGTTAGCGTACGTATCTGTCATTAAGAACAGGTATGGGGGGCGCCTGAGTGGCTGGCTGAGTCAGTTGAGCATCCGACTCTTGATTTCGGCCTGGGTCGTGATCTCAGGGTTTTGGGATCGAGCCCCATGTTGGGCTCCACACATGGAGCCTGTTTGAGAGATTCCGTCTCTCCTTCTTTCCCCCTGGCCTCCACCCCTGCTCTCTATCTCAAAAAAAAAAAGAACATGTAAAGTTACTTCTCAGCTATAAAACAAAAATCTCATCTCACCATTCTAAGAGCCACACTAAGCCTTTTAAAAATTTTTTTTTTTAATGTTTACTCATTTTTGAGAGACAGAGACAGATCATGAGTGGGGGATGGACAGAGAGAGGGAAACAGATAATCCAAAGCAGGTTCCAGGCCCTGAGCTGTCAGCACAGAGCCTGACACGGGGCTGGAACCCATGAAGCACGAGATCATGACCCGAGCTGAAGTCGGACGCTCAACCGACTGAGCCACCCAAGTGCCCCACACTAAGCCTTTTAAATGTGTTTCCTCCTTAAGTCAATGCTTAAATGAAACCTGATCACCCCTAATCTACAGATAAGGAAACTGAGATGCCAAGGTCAGGTAACCTGCTTCAGGTCAGACAGATTGAAAGTGGCACAATGATATTGAAATCCAATTCTGTCTGACTCTAAAACCTAATCGTTGTTTGCACTCCATGCTGGAATCAGAATTGACATCAGAATCAAGATTTGTGAGTTTTTTTTTAACGTACTATCTTTCATTGTTATCCAAAACAGTGGTCAAGTGATGCGATTAATCAGAAAATCACTCTGGTTGATGGATTAGTGGCTCCAGACTTCTTTCTATGAGCATATCCTATTCAAAAGGTATAAGGACCGGGACAAGATATGAATCATAAGTAGATTTTATTACTTTTAAAAGCAGTTCCAGGAAGACACTAAAAAGATATGTAAAGCGAAAGAACATGCTCAGACGATCTGTATTTATTTTATCCATGTGAGCTCTCTATTGCCTTTGGTTAAGTGTAAGTAAAAATTGACTGCAGTGTAATAGCTTTAGTGTAGGAGAAATGGTTGCAAATTGAAGTGTTCACAAGATTTGTGGTGATCTGAACGATGGTTTTATGTGGAGTCCCTTAGTAGGTGTGAGAGCTATATATTTGAAGCTACATTATGGTGCTCATTGGTATTTATTTTTTGGTTTGCAGAATGAGGACATCATAAGAAAATGCTACAATCAGCAGTTGGCTGATGCCATAGCTGTTATCAAAGGAACGTACAAGGTGGGTTTTTAGTGCCGTCACGGACCAGGCCAGCGTCACGTCCTGGGATTGCACAGAGTGGGGCTCACTGTGGGGTCCCCGTCCGTGTTTTTGGCTTTGAAGAGCTGTTTGCTCAGTTTTCAGGTCACGGTTCACACGCACATTAAATTGACCAAAATGACACTTTATGGTGACAGATGTAACTTTGCAGACACTGGAAAATTCCATCCTGGAATGCGGGTAAGTGAGGGAATAATCCAAGGTTTGTTTGGTGAGCGTGCAGTTGGAGGGAAGGCTGGCTAGTCTCAGAGGGTTCAATGGGTCTGTGGTAAATCCCGATGAATCGTCTCTGACTCTCGGTCGAGTCACTTTTCTTTTGATGAGGACTCATCTATTCCCCAGGTACGGTGCTTCATTCTCCTCCATACTGGGAAAACTCATCGTTTTCTGTGCTTACCCTGCAGGCTTAGGAAGGACCTTGTGCTTCTTTTAGATTTTATAACTGGAACCTTGTCTTTCATGTCAATAAACCTCCGGAAGAAGTATTTTTATTGTGGCAAACTGTGCGTTGATTACATGCATTTTTTTCCTTGGCACTTGCCACATTTGTACTTATTTATAACTGCTTGTTCCGTGTTCTGGTCCACACCAGACTGCAAGCCTTAGGAGGGCAGGGATGCTGTGTCTTACTCACTGCTCTGCCTGCCTCTTAGCAGGCCCGATGTGTGGTTAGCGATCAGCTAATATCTGCTAAACAGGTGGACGGCTGCCCACATTCGTGGCAGACACTGGTGACTCAGGAGTGATTATCGCTCTTCCTTTTTTTATTAGCGGAAACGCTTCTCACTTCTCTTCACAGTATTAAGGGGCCCAAATGCTGGGCCCTTTCTTTCCCTGCGCCCTTTCCAGATACGGCGGGAACACGGGCAAGGTCAGGTCCCTGACCAACGTGAGCTGAAGCTAAGCGGGCTCCGAGGTTATTCTTGGGTGCGTAAAGCCACCCGTGGGAAGAAATACCCTTCGTTTCCTTTGCTTGACACGTTGCCTCCTTCTGATGCTCGGGATTGCCGCGGCCAACCGAAAATGAAGGACTGAGACACTTTGGATGTGCGACGTACAGGTGGCAGAGTGAAAAGATGCAAAGCACTGGGCTCCTGGATGACATCACTGAACCACTAAATAGCCCCGGACTCGCTCTGCCCCTGGCCCTTTCGTTTCCAGACACAATTACCCCTCTTGCTGTTCAAGCCACTGTTGGCTGCCTGTTCCGTAACCTACAGCTGGACCTACTGCTCTGTCAGCAGCCTCTCTGACTCTGCACCAGTCGTTTGCTAAAGTGGCTGGGACGGTGTCCCACTCACGTGCAGTGTTACCTCGCCCCTCTTCAACGGAGAGGAGGAGCAGGAGCCTGACTCCCCCTCCTTGAACCTGGGCTGGCCTCAGTGCCTTGCTTGTCTGTAGCCCAGGTGAGGGCAGTGACGCCAGCTCGGAGACCAGGTCCAGAGAAGCCTTGAGGCTCCATCCTTCTACCCTTGGAATGTTTTCTCTGGCTTCGCCCTCTCCGAATCCAGCTGCCGAGCCGCGAGAGGCCCAGGTTTTCGGAGGACCCACGTGTGGACACTAGGTCCGCCTGGGCTCAACTCCCCAGTCACGCGGCCCCTGGCCGCTTTGTCCTTCCGTCTGAGGTCCCGGGCAGTATGGAGCGGAGACAAGCCATCCCCCTGTGCCTGTCTTAACCCCCTGACTCACAGAGCCCATGAGCACGAGGAACAGTTGTGGTTTCGTGCCGCTATGTTTGGGAAGATGTATTCTGCAGCAGTAAATAGAGGGGACGGCTTCCTTGCACTCCCATCAGTGAGCAGTTTCTGAATTACATTTGTTGGGTGACAGAGTTCTGCCAGCACAATGGAGCATCATGGGTAAGAGTTAGCGTAATGTGTGTTTCAGAACAAGGACCCTGCAGTCCGGCTACTTGGGTTAGAATCCTGGCTCTGTCTCTTAATTGTTCGGCGACCCGAGGCAAAATACCGAACCCCTCTGCCTCCGTTTCCTCATGTGTCCATTGGGGATCATAGCAGTACCTGCCTCCTAGGCTTGTTATGAAGATGAAGCGAATTGATCCTTGTGAGGCCCTTACAACTGTACCCGAGTCGGTTAAGTGTCCGACTGTCGGTTTTGAGCCAGGCCACGATCTCACGGTTCGTGGGTTCAAGCCCGACAACAGGCTTTGCATTGGCCGCACGGAACCTGCTTAGGATTCTCTCTCTCCCTCTCTCTCTGCCCCTTCCCTGCTCACACCGTCTCTCTCTCTCTCAAAATAAATAAATAAACCTTTAAAAACACATAAATAAATAAACATTTTCACATATTCATGACAGTCCTTGGTACTGGTAAATTTTTTCTTCTCTTTTATCATCTTAGCATTCAGGCTTGTATCTTTCTGTCCACTGACTGTGGACTTCAGATACGATAAAGTGCCCTTAGGATATCTATAATAATTATCAATATTTATTATGTTGGACAATATGAAATTGCCACTTTTGGAGCCCGAAATGTCAAATATCGGCAATTTCATATAGTTCACCATAATAAAATACTTATTTTAACAAATAAAGGCAGCAACAAACTGCGTAAAATATTAGGCTATATAATAACTTAATATTTTATTTTTTTAATGTTCATTTATTTTAGAGAGAGAGCACGCGAGCGATAGCTGGGGAGGGGCAGAGAGAGAGGGAGACACAGAATCTAAAGCAGGCTCCAGGCTCCAGGCTCCAAGCTGATGGCAGAGAGCCCGATGTGGGGCTGAAACCCACGAACCGCACGATCATGACCTGAGCCGAAGTCAGATGCGTAACTGACTGAGCCACTCAGGTGCCCCTAGGCTATTCATCTTCGATTTACATGTTGAGTGCATGCTGTGTGCTGAGATATGCTGGACACTGACATTTCAGAGATGGAAGAGGGGTAAATGGAGGAAGATTATAAACTAAACCATAATATACTTTGTTCAGTGCAGAGAAAAACATGTAACAGGAGTTATGTAAATTCCACAAAGGGAACAATTATTTCTGCCTTTGTGCTTTGGGAAGGCTTCACAGAGAAGGTGATATTTGTGGTAGGTTTTAAATTTTTTTTTTTTAAGGTTTATTTATTTTTGAGACAGAGAGAGACAGAGCATGAACGGGGGAGGGGCAGAGAGAGAGGGAGACACAGAATGTGAAACAGGCTCCAGGCTCCGAGCTGTCAGCCCAGAGCCCGACGCGGGGCTCGAACTCACGGACTCTGAGATCGTGACCTGAGCCGAAGTCGGACACTTAACCCACTGAGCCACCCAGGCGCCCCTGTGGTAGGTTTTAAAGTAAGCTTTCAGTTTGTAGACAAGAAATGCAAAGGGATTCCAAGTAGACAGCATAGTGTATATTAGTCAGAATGTTTACAGTGGCAAGTTATACACATAGCTAATTACAGTGGCATTAGTTAAAAGAATTTATTGGTTCATGTAACTGAACAGTGTAATGATAGTAATGACTTCAGGAAAAGCTGGATCTAGGTGCTCAAATAATGTTATCGAGCAACCGTCCATCCCCTGCTTCTGCCTTCTTCTCTGAAGGTTTAATTTTCAGGCAGATCTTCTTCCCCCCAGAGCAACCTTAGAGCATCTCTTTCTAAATAGTTCCTACAGAGTCTCAAGGCTGACCCTGACCAATCTGGCCTAGTGATTCTCCCCCGCCCCCACCGCAAGCCAAGCCAGAGTGACCTATGCATCTCAGGAGATGATATTGAGGACAGGGTTCACCCAAATGGAAAAGAGAAGTTTTGCTGCCTCAAGGAAGATTACGGGGGAGGCAAAACTGGTTAGGCAAACTGGCTTCCCACGTCCCATAGCATGTGAAAAGGCAAGTAGGACCTGGTCGGTCACTGACCGTTTCATTGCCCTACATGGTAGCTAGGAGCCATATGTGGCTATTAAAAATGAAGTTGAGGGGCGCCTGGGTGGCGCAGTCGGTTAAGCGTCCGACTTCAGCCAGGTCACGATCTCGCGGTCCGTGAGTTCGAGCCCCGCGTCGGGCTCTGTGCTGACAGCTCAGAGCCTGGAGCCTGTTTCTGGTTCTGTGTCTCCCTCTCTCTGCCCCTCCCCCGTTCATGCTCTGTCTCTCTCTGTCCCAAAAATAAATAAACGTTGGAAAAAAAAAATTTTTTTTTTTTTAAAATAAATAAAAATGAAGTTGAAATCAAATTAAAAATTCAGTTCCTGGGTTGCACCAACCAGAGGTTACCCAGCAACATTCTGTGAAACTAAGTAACAGGAGAATTCATGAAAATCTGCACAGGTATATTTCAGTTATTTATTTTATTTTTATATGTGTGTTAACAATAGTAAAAGAACAATGCCTTACTGAGTGCTTTCTTTGTGCCAGGCACCACGCAAAGGTGTTTAGATACATTGTTTTATTCGGTCTTCACATGAGCAAGTAGCAAGAACTGGGGCCCCAAATCGAATCCTCACTTCCTAACATGGTAATAATAGGAACCATGTCACAGGCTCATATTCTAACCTAGTGCTCTTGCGAATTAGAAGGCAAATTAGGCTGCTACCAAAGTGCCTATGCTCTCGGGCTCATCCAAAACGTGGTGCCCAGAGATGAAGTCCAAGTATCTTTTGCTGGTTCAACTGTATGATATAAGCATTTGAAGTGGGCAGTAGGATCCTCCTTGGCTAACCAGGGAAATGGAGGCATGGCTACATTAAGCAACTTACCCAAAGCCACAGAGCTGGTCAGCAGTGGAGCTGGGACCCCAATTCCCATCTATGTCTCTAACGTGGTTCCACAGAAAATGGGAAATGCTTGGATTTTCTGAGCAGGAGAAAGAGAGGTGCCTTTGTACCCTTCGGGTTGGTTACTCCTGTAACGGTGTTAATAGCACATTGGAGAAATGGAGACTCAGGTAGATATACCATCTAGGAAGACAGAAACCGCGAGTTTCCTCAGTGCCCAGCACTGTGCTTGGATTTTAAT